AAAAAAAAAAAAAGATATGATGCCAACGGAAATATCAATTTTTGGTGGTTGTGATAAAAACAAGCCCCAACCTTCAAATTTAGAAGGTTCCCTTTGCAGCTGAGAGATTCTAAATGAGAGCATAAGCACTAATTTTCCAAGCTTATGTGAAAACCAAGAGCATTTTCTTAAATAAGAAGAATATAACGTGTGCTACTTCTGTCTATTTAAGAAAGATCTGGGCCTTCTTATTCAGGACCACAGGTACAAGAAGACTCATGATGAATTTACCTTCCCAAGCAAAAGAAAGTACCAGCACGAAATCATTACCTTATGTAACGTGATTCGTTATTATTAGGACTCTGGGCCTCTGGCATGAAAGATACCTTAAGAAGACTCGAGAGCGTGATTTACAGACTGGGAGATGGTGGCATCGTAAAGCTCTGCTGTCTCTTCCAGGTTTTGGAGTGGGATGTACAACCGCTTCGAAAAGGGGCTGCAGCCCCGACAGTCTGTTACCGATTACCTCATGGCGGTGAAGGAGGAAACCCAGCAGCTGGAGGAAGAACGAGAGGCCCTAGAAGAAGTAAGACACACTTCCTGTTCACCTACTTTCTGTGCTTATTTCCTGACAAACACTGTTCCGTGAAGGCCTTTTGTGACTCGGGGTTCGTGAAATGAGGCAACGTAGCCATTTTATATTTTAGCCGAGTGGATAACCTGAAGCACATGGCCACCGGGTGAGCGTCCAGGTAACCGAAGCCCAGACCTGGGCACTCAGCACGTTTCAGGCGTCTGGTCGGGGCCTCACTTACAGGGTTTGCTGAACTAGTTGCTTATCCCTACCATAGGTCACATTTTATCTTGTTACTGTTATTTGAGAGAACCAAAATGAATCTTCCTGGAGAGTATGTGAAAAAGGTGGGATTCAAAGTGAAAAGAACAAAATCTGACTTTGCACTTTGGTTTTATGTGCTTGTAAAAATTTGTTTTTTTTTTGTAAATTTATTATTACTTTCAATAATATTATCATATTAGCCTATACATGATAACAGCCGAGGCCGAGTTACCAACAGCCTAGTTTTTGGCTTTTATAATTTCCCAATAATTGGACAGGACGGTTAGAATGTACATATTTTTGCTAATTTTATAACTTTGCTTCCAGTGATACCACTGGTTTATTTAGTGGTTCCCTAAAACCGCATGGCTTCTTTGCTTCACTCTGCTTCACTCACCTTGTTAACTCTCCATGGCATCATCATGTCTTTCACTTGCTCAACAATTGGCAACCGATTGCTGTTGTCTGGACCTGAATTCTAAATTGAGACTAAAGGTTTAAATAGGATGAAAAGGCTTCTGTGCCCCCTTGAGATCTTACATACTACAGATAAAAGTATTAGGATGAAGGCCGGGAAAATGTCAATAAACTAAGATTTCCCATCATAGTGCATAAAACAGTACTATGACGTGAAGAGAACTTCTAGGTTTTTACCTTTAGTTTGATAAATTTCTAAATGGAAGTCGGCGAAATATCACAAGATGAGTTCCAACAAAGTCTACTTCCTTTACCTGATGGATAGGCATCTGGAGGTCGCCCCTAAAAGGGTGGCCTGGGGGACATGTATGATGGTTCAGGGACCCCACCAATAAGATAGTCATTTGGAGGTAGCTGGTGAGGCAGACTCCTCTGATGCTCCCATAACATTCCTAGGAAACATCGCCTTTCAAGATCTAAGTAGAAGATCTTAGGTCTAGGGTTGTACACTCAAGTACATACAGGAGCCAGATGGATAAAACACATTCAGCAAGTTAAACTACTGGTTTTGAGAAATTTTGAAGGCAAGCATAAATCTTACTCTATTATAAATCTGCAAGGGTTCAACAAATCCTCTTGAGACCTATGTGGAGAGCTCTGCGTTAATTTTACACGATTGGAGAACAGTTTTTGACTCCGTGTATCAAAACCACCACCTCACAAAAACCCTAATGCCAGGGCTCTTAAGCCTGGAGATTCTGATGGAGAATCTTTAGAGTGCCACAGTGATTGACTGTGACTTGCCGCCAGGGCGAGAGAGACCTTGAATTAAATAGCACACAGAGAAATGAAATGATGCACAGCTTAGGTTTTTAGAATTCTGGAGCACTGGAAAAACTTCTATGAGTTTTGCCATTTTCAAGTCCACACATGTCTTTACTCAGCCAGTTTTATTTACTCTTCCTAAAGATACCCAAGCTTTAGGAAAGGCTAACGATTCTCCTGGTCTGTTCCAATATTCTTTTTGTTAAAATACTAAAAATGAAGGAAAAAAACTACTTAGAAAATCTGAAAACACCTTAATTAAAAGCCTTTGGCTCTTTTCCCTTATAACAAAGTCAAAACCCCTTAGCCTCGCGTTTAAGATTTTCCCACAATTCGGCCTAATCAACCCTTTCAACTTTATTCTCTACTATTCCCCTTGCTCAAATTCAACTGCTCTCTGCTTCTTGTACACAATGACATCTTCCTACTTTGGTGGTTTTCTTCTCACTGTCCCTTTTGCCATAAATGCTCTAACCATCACCAGCACCTGAGTTTAATTCTTTCAGAGTCCTATTAAAACGCTCCATTCCTGAAGCTTGCTTGGATCTTTTCCCTCTAGCTATCCCACCTGCCCTCTTAAATAATTTTCATCTCTTCCAAATTCTTACATCACCTGAACTCTGCCTCCATAACCCAAGTTCTTTATGGCTGGATCTGTATCTATCTCAATTACTCATACTGCCCACTAAGTGCTCTTTGCACATAACAACTTAAGATGAATGCTTTTAAATGAATATGTAATACTTGATCTTATAACACCCCCCTTGTTGACACCAAAGGATGAGATCTGGTAAAATGTATTTTGAACAACCCAAATGTCCATCAGCCGATGAAGAGATAAAACGTGGATATTCATGTAATGGAGTATCATTCAGCCATAAGAAGGAACGAAGTACTGATACGTGCTACAGTGGGGATGAACCCCGAGAACATGAACTAAGGGAAAGAAGCCAGACAACATGTTATATGTGTTGTATGATTCCATTTATATGAAATGTCCAGACGAGGCAAATCCATAGAGATAGAAAGTAGCTTAGTGGCGGCCAGAGCTGTGGGAGGCTGAAATGGGGAGTGACTGCTAATGGTTATGGGGTTTTCTTTGAGGATGATGAAAATATTTTGGAATTAGGTAGTAGGGAATTGTTGTATAACCTTGCGAACATACTAAAACCACTGAACTGTATACTTTAGAAGGTGTTTTGTGGTTAAGTGAGGTTTCTTAATTTAAAAAATTAGATAATAAACACCTCATTCCTGATGTTTTAAAAATGCATTTTGAGTTTATAGGATGAAAATCATCATGTAAAACATTATAGGTCTAGAAAAGATGACTACTGATTGCCAGGAGCTTTACCTATGTTATTATTTTTTTCTTTTTTTGCATTTTATAGAAAACCTATAGTAAAGCTGTATTTACTTTCATTTAATTCGAGATGAAGAAACCAAGTCTCACATAATCTATTTTGTCCGAGGTCATAAAGTCTAGCTTTGAACCCAAGTCCATTTAAATCCCGTGTTCTTAAGATTATACCCAGGTGGAAAGTAATAAATACTAAATTATTTATGATTTTTCCCTAAAAAAACTTTTTTTTTTTTTTTTAGAGGCTGGAAAAAATTCAGAAAGTCCAGTTAAATCACACTAAAGTGAAGGCTAAGCAAAGCGAACCCAGCAAACACTCAGGGTTTTCTACCTCAGACAACAGCACAGCCAACACTCCCCAGGATTACAGTGGAAACATGAAATCCTTTCCATCCAGGAGTCCTTCACAAGGTGATGAAGATTCTGCTCTCATTCTAACCCAAGACAATTTGAAAAGCTCAGATCCGGATCTGTCGGCCAACAGCGATCAAGAGTCCGGGGTGGAGGACTTGAGCTGTCGGTCCCCAAGTGGTGGGGAGTGTGCACCAAGCGAAGACAGTGGCAAGGACCGTGATTCTGACGAAGCTGTGTTTCTCACTGCCTGAAGTTTCTCTGTGGAGTTCCAAAATAAAGGACACACAAGAAACACTTTCCAAAAAGAAGGGAGCAGTGCAATTCAAAATAAAAAAATCATTCAAGAAATGGTACATGTCTTTGAGAATTATAAAACGTAGCAATGGAAAGGGAAAAAAAAGTCCGGCTTTTACTTTCTTTACATGCTGAAGAACAGGAAGTAGCCATTTCTTTTACCAACGATATAGAAGGAAAAGTTATTCCCCATTTTTAGTTCTGGATTCTGAAAGTTTTGTTTACTACGTAGCACTGACCTCTTCTATCACCTGAGTTATTGGCACAGATCTTCCTTTCACAGCATGCATCTGCTCAGAGTGCCGACCCCTTCTCCCCCACCTGCTGTCCTCAGCCCTCACCCTTATTTCACTCCCAGATACGTATTTTGTTTTCGAAATCCCTTGACATTGACTTCCTCCCTCTGTTATCGGTATTTCTAGTAATGGAGCACCCGGCAGAAGCATACCCCTTGTGGTTAGCAGATGTCTCTGTAACTGACGAGGTCTGTAACTGCTTGAGCTTTTCAGGTTTCACAATCACTTTAACTTTTCTTTAGATAATATATTTTGAACTGTTAATAATAATCTTGTTGCCTTTTTCTGCAATCTCATCATTTAAAAATTGCTGAAACTTATAACTCACTTTCTCTAACGGGTCTAATACCTAATAAAATAGAAATAACATTTACTCTTTGGTTCTTAAGAATTCAGATAGCATTAAATATAACATTTTAAACTGTAAATGTTATAAAACGTAACATTTTAAAACAACAACCTTTTATTACTCCTCCGGAGACTGCGTTACCACCACCATGACTCCTGAAGTGTAACAAAGTTAGTAGTGTAATATTTTGATAAGGAAAAATACCAGTTAAAAACTAGAGAATCTGGTGGTCCTATTTAACAAATAGAAAAAGTTTTGTCACTGATCACTTTAGACACTGTGTACCTGGTTAATATGATTTAACAGTAACAACTGACTGCTGAAAGTTCTGAAAAGTTTGTTTTGCTAAAATGCACATTTGAAGTAGAATCATTCTCCTGTCTTTTGGTAACAAATGGGACTTTACTGGGTTATAAATGATCTGAAGAAACTCAGCGGAAAAAGTTTGGACGGAGATAACAAACATTTACAACTGTGTGGTTTTTAATTATCAGTACATTCCATAATGTAAAGGGATTACTTTTATAGTCTACATCAATATTTTGAAATCTGCTAATAGGGTAACGTATTAAAAATTTTGCTGAAATGGGAACAAGGTAAGAGAGGGGAGGGGAGTAACATTACCAAGATGGTAACATAGGTAGTTCTTGAGTATACTCCCCTTCTCAAGAAGGCAACTAACAACTGTTCCTGGATAGGACATCAATGAAAGGATCCTAGAGCTCAGGAGTGAGGCTAAGGCACCCCACAGCAAAAGAGAGACCAAGATGGACTGCACTGGAAGGGTAAGAGGAACAGCTGCATGCTGACCACATTGCCCCTCCCCCATGCTGGCTCAGCACTACGTGGAGACTTCTCCCCTAAGCCTCCGGTTCCTCCGGTGAGGAGAGCCCATGGGTGATATCCAGCCCCCCGCCTACCTAATGTTGTACTTAGTTGGAGCCCATACTCTGGTTTCACTCCACAAGGACTTCGGGGAAAGCTGTGGGGCTCAATCTCTAGGAGCCTGAGACCGAGAAGCAGGGAGGGGCTTCCAACAACCAGCGCTTGGGTCTTGGAAGACGGCGTTCCTATGAGCACAGGCCAAGCAGTAGTCCCAACCAGCGTGTACGCTCATCTGCAAGCCAGGTCAGTGGCACAGTCTGACCGGGGAATTTGGCAAGGTTCAGGCCTGCCAAATTTGGGTCCCTAAAGAAGGAGTTCTGGCCTTACTGCCTGCTCTGCCCATGCCCTGGCAGAAGAGCTGAGCCACAGCTACCCCTGCTGCAGAGCACGGTCCCCAGTCCCTCCTGATCAGAAAATCTAGCCAGGAAAATTTGGGAGTCGCCTCAAGCGGGCCCTTCCAGTCTTGCTCCAACAGGAACCAGAGACCTAGCCCTCTCCGGCCCCTGTGCCTACAGAACGTGACCCCCTGCCCCTTCTGACAGGAAGGGCTCACCAGAATACCTGGAAGCTATGTGGCCCAGCAGCTCTTAAGCCAAGAAGCAGGTGGACAGAACTGACGCCACCCAAAGCAAATCCAGTGGTTCTGTCTGGCCAGGGAACTCGAGGCCTGGGTTGACTGGAGTCCAGAAGAAAGCACTGACGGCTTTTGAGCTGCTTTTCCTGCTGCACCCAACCAGGGAAAGTAATTCATAGCCTACTTATTGCTGAATTCAGCCTTCAACCCAGCCACATAGGGGACCTTACCAGAGCACACAGGGAAATGCATAGCTCATCCAAAGGCCCCATTTACAGTGTCACTTGATGGAGTATAGCTCTGGGCTTTCCACATCTGTAGAGCAAAACCAGTGGCCTCATCTGACCAGGATGTTAAGTGCACACTCTTTCCTGAATCAGGTCCCCGAACAAGCTGTGGAGGCCCCGGGTCCTATCCAGCCGCCCTGCAAGGGCAGAGAAGCTAGTTCATAGCCTGAACGAAGGCCAACGTAGTACCCAGTCCCAACCTTCGAGTAAGCCTGACCAGAGATTTCAGGAAATCGCGAAGATCATCCCACAGCTTCCCTTGAGGAGGGAACCGAGCCAGCAGTGTTATCTAGCTGTTCTTGGCCAGTGCCACACCCCTTACCTCAGAGCATTAACAGCTGCTTGCCTAAAAATAGACTCTACTAGGAGGCCCCACCTACCCAAGGATGTTACCAGCAGACATGTCCAGAAACCCACACTAAGCTGACTGGTGAAGAAATGTCTCTGCCAAATCAAACATGCTAAGTCTGAAAGAGGAGACCACTTAAAGAAAGGCACAGAGACCAACATAAAGAATCAAAGATCTTGAAAAATCAGGTAAGTATGACATACCAACGGAAATGAATGACGCTCTAGTAACTGACCCAAAAGAAATGGAGACCTCTGAGCTGTCAGATAAAAAATTCAGAATAATTGTAATAAAGTTTAGTGAGCTATAAGAACACACAGACCACTAAAGTTATGAAAACAATACATGAACAAGAAGTTCAACAAAGTAGAAATCATCCCCAAACCAAACAAACAAAAAAACCCACAAGCCCCAAAATCAGAGCTGAAAAATATAACTGAAGAATTCAATAAAGGGTTTTAAAAGCAGACTCAACCATGCAGAACACTGCAGTGAACTGGAAAAAAAAACAAAAAAAAAAAAAACCACCACTGAAATTAGAGGAGCAAAAAGAATGAAAGAAAGTGAAAAGAGGCTACAGGAATTACTGGACACAATGAAAGCAAACAATATTTGCATTAGGGGAATTCTAGAAGGAGAAAAAGAAACAACAGAAAGTATATTTAAAGCAATAATGGCTGAAAACTTCCCAAACCTGGGGAGGGAAATAGACATCCAGATCCAAGAGGCCCAAAGGATCCCAAACGGGCTGAACCCAAATAGGGCTAAATCAAGACACTTCACAATTAAATGGCAAAAATCAAAGACCATGAATTTTCAAAGCAATAAGAGAAAACAGAGGGAAAATAAAAGGGAATTCCAAACAAGGCTGGATCCCTCAACAGAAACTTTTCAGGACAGAAAACAATGGGAAGACATATTCAAAATACAGGGAGGAAAAAAAGAAAAACCCAAAGTTTCAATCAAGAATTCTATGCCTGGCAAAGGTGTCCTTCAAAAATAAAGGAAGGATAGACTTTCTCAGACAAACAAAAGCTGAGGGAGTTCATTACCACTATACCTACCTTAAAAGAAATGCTAAAGGGAGTTCTTTGAGTGAAAATAAAAGATTACTAGTTAATAGCATAGAAACATAAGAAGGCAGTGTACAACTCACTAGTATTGATAGTTAAAAATGGATTCTGTAACAGGATAATGGTGGTGTGTAAGTCATAAGACTAGTTTAAACGTTAAAAACACATATAGTAGGGGCGCCTGGGTGGCGCAGTCGGTTAAGCGTCCGACTTCAGCCAGGTCACGATCTCGCGGTCCGTGAGTTCGAGCCCCGCATCGGGCTCTGGGCTGATGGCTCAGAGCCTGGAGCCTGTTTCCGATTCTGTGTCTCCCTCTCTCTCTGCTCCTCCCCCGTTCATGCTCTGTCTCTCTCTGTCCCAAAAATAAATAAACGTTGAAAAAAAAAAAAAAATTAAAAAAAAAAAAAAAAACACATATAGTAAAAGTAACCCTATCTTCAATAGTCCGTTATTAATTACACAATAATATGTAAATTGCGACATTAAGTAAAATGTGAGAAGTATAAAGCTTAGTAGTTCAATTAAAGTTGCTATTAGTTTAGAACAGAGTGCTAAATTTTAAAACATCTTATGTAAGCCTCAAGGGAAAAACCTGTAGTAGTTACACAAAAGATGACAAGTCAAAGCAGATTGATAATGACAGGACATCAAACCACAAAGACAACAGGATAAGAAACAAGGAACAATGGATCCATAAAACCATGAAACAACAAAAAGGCAACAGTAAATCCTTATCAACAATTACTTTAAATGTCAACAGATTAAATTCCCCAATATAAAGACACAGAAAGGCTAAGTGGATTAAAATAACGAGACCCAACAATATCCTGTCCTACAGGAGACCCACCTCAGACTCAAAGGCAAACAGACTGAGAGTGAAGCAAAGGCATTTTAAGCAATTGGTAACCAAAAGAAAAAAAAAAAAAAAGGGCAGGGGAAGCTATACTTGTATCAGACAAAAGAGACTTTAAAAATTATAAAAAGAGACAAAAGGTTATTGGTAAATGGGTCTATACATCAAGATAACCTATCTGTAAATATTTATATACCCAGTGTTATAATCAGAGCACATAAAAGCATAAAGCAAAAATGAACAGACCTAAAAGAAATAAGCAACAACACAGTAATAGATGGGGTCTTTAAT